TGTCGACCCAAAGATCTACGACGCGTCGTGTCCTGCGAAGAACGATCCGCTGCCTGGACGAGGTGCCTTCTAGAAAGACAGAATCAAGCTTGTATACAAATAAATAGTCCGTTAGAATAATACTCGTCAACACCATCATATCGCTCATCGTCGCTTTGTTTCGATCGGTATCGTCTGGTAACTTGTTCGCATTGCTATGTACTGCTGAAGGGGTTCGCATTCGCATAAGACCACAGATCCAAACCCTGGACGACTCGCCATTGAACCCAGCGTTGAGTTTGCGTCCGAAGTGGCTGTTTTCCCGGCACTTGGGTCCCCAGGGTCTGGTCTCGTTCGGGTTGAGTTAACGTTTGTGGTTACGGCCCGATGCGCTGACGCCGACTAACGAACTTTGTCGTGAGCCCACAGCGCGGCGCCAACCGACTGTCCGTAGGAAATGAGACAAAATGTATCCTATCGCAACGGCTATACCCTGGAAATGATATTGCAGTCAACTGTGATTGGATTGCCGAGGTAATTGCGAAGGCGGCGGCGTGTGAGAGACTGGAGAAGAGCACGTGGGTAACACATCCAGCTCGACCGGAGCCATCCTTCCGAACTATACCATCATGTATCATGACCCTAATCACGAACGGCCAATCATGCCTGGGTTTGCCGTTCGCATCAGGGACGACTATCAAGATTCCAGTGGCGCAAGGTCTGCATAGAGGCTTGCATGAGTTCAATAGTTTCGTCGAGTAGGGTTGACATTCATCGGCTGCACGCATAGAAACATGAGTTTTTCAAGAGCCAGACCGCAGATAACAAATCCTTCTGACCCGCCTCCTCCACTTGGACAGCTGCTTGACTCGCGCTCTTGTTGTATTAATCCATGACTTCGCGGCACTGGAGTCTTTGGCACAACAGAGGTTTCTCCAGTTGAGTTCGTATTGCAAGATGGCTGAGTATCTTCGCCTCGTAATGCGAAGAAAACAGAGATCGGAAACATGAAGGATGATCCCCCGTCTTGGCAATGTATACATCCCTCAATAACGCCAGGGGTGCCCAGGTGCAAGTACCGGGACTAGAATCCCATGCCGCGTCCATGCTAACCCACCAGAGCAAAGGTTCTGCGGGGCCCTTGCGATTGCAGCGTGATGTCTGCACGGGACACAGACTTGCTCCCCACTGCTCGGGTCTCTACTTCTGGGACGAGTAATCTGGTGGTCGTCAGGTACAAAAGCCAATAAGTTTCCAGTCGACAGGTAGCCTGATCCTCTGGTACCTGCATCTAACAGTACGCAGAACGGACCGTTTTCACTACCGCCATCATGAGCTCAGTTGGTGCTTGGCAGTTCGCACCTCTCGTTACCGAGTTTCCTACCAATGTTTTGCCAAACTTAGGATTCTGGAGTGCGACCAATGGGTCTTGGGAATATCAGATTCAGGTGGCATGGCCGCTGAACTGGACATCACAGGAGGAGAGCTCGACTGTGGAGACGATGTAAGAGCCCACCATGAACTACAGCAGCAACATGAGAAAAGATATACTAATATCACTACTAGGTATGTTCTTGACGGAAACGCTCTCGGCATGACTGCCACGGAAGCCTTCCGTCGCCGTCGTCCCGTGGAGTTCAACATGCCCGACTGTATTGTTGTCAGCATAGGCTATCCGGAAACCATTGAAGATTCGCCCTACAGCACGCAGCGAAGCTACGACTTCCAGCCTCCTGTCTGCGATGATTGCCCATTGCCAACAGTACCTGGCGTGCAATCCAATGCCAACGAGTTCATCGAATTCATTGATACTGCTCTCCGCCCCTGGGTCCAGGAAACAGCTTTCCCAAAGGCTGACTTCGATCGCGATGCGCTCTACGGCCACTCTTTCGGTGGCCTTTTCGTCCTGTATGCTCTTACCGTACGCCCTGATCTCTTCGATACATTCCTCAGCGCTTCTCCGGCGCTCTTCTTCAACAACGATTACGTCTTTAACAACACGGATTTCCTTGCACCGCTGACTTCGCCCTCCGCCAACAATACTTCCAATACCACCAAACCTGCTTTCCAGATAAGCTATGGCGCGCTCGAACAGAACCTGGTGCAGAGGCGGACGGAAACGGACGAGGAGTTTGCGTTCAGGCAGAGCATTCTTGTGCCGCAGCGGATGACGGATCTGAGTCAAAAGCTGTACAGCACGTTGGAGGATAGTCCAGCATTGAGGGATATCAGCATACATGAGTACCCTTTCAGTGACCACGCTGCAGTAGGCGCGGCAGCGCTCGCGGATGGTATTGACTACTTCCTGGACTGGTGAGTGGCAAGTGCTGTTAAAGGGTGGAGGTGGAAGAGAGCAACGCCTTGTATGAAGATTGAATGAAAACCTGATGATCAATCCTGGAGCTCAACCAACGCAGATTCTCCTTCCTGTTCTCCAAGCTTGGTAATCCTTGATTTCGGCCGCGGTGATATCTTTTCCTGTTATTTTCCAACCCGGCTCTCCATGACTCTGCATCTCTGTAGCATCGGCTATTGCTCCACTATGCCGACGCCAGTCTTTGTACAGCCGGGCAAAGGCAGGCATGATTCACCAGGACGCATTCTACTTGGTATCAGCGCAAGGTTCTGTGCTCCTCGGACGCTCTTGCTGCTCATTCTCAGGCTCTTACTGATTATGTTGCAATGTTAGCCTGATCGTCGCTTACATGCACTAACATGTGTCGCTTCCATTCTCTCAGTCTCTTTCATTCGCACATGGTCGAAATACCCCTCACGACCCGTTGTTCCCTTTATCATCTTCTACGCAGAAGATTTCCTCTTTTACCATTCATCTTCCGCGTTACCCGGACACCACGACGCGATTGGAGATGGGTTGTCGCTTCCTCTGCGCTGTAAAGTTACAAATGGATACCTTGCCGGACTACTTGCCCGTTTGGCAGTAATAGCGCTGTCTCTGACCGCCTTGTTCGAACACCTGGACACTGCTCGCAGGCGATGTCACGTTGCCCCGACTGGATCCCAGCGACTGGTGGAAACGATTAAATTACAACCCCGCCCTAACCACTTCAAAACCACACGTCGGCATGTCTCTTGCCCACATCACCCACAATCGTCCACACGGGGTACGATAAGTGATAACATTGAGTGGACACGTCCCACCGCTCATTGCGCCAGAGTTGGAGCAGGTGGTGCGGCCAAATGCCGGCGAGTGGCGGCATTGGCTGAAATTTTCGGGGCGGTGGGTACAGCCGCCAGCAAGAGCCTCAACGGATGCACATCCGGTGTTTGATCATCGCAGAAAAGATTTCGCCTAGGGAACCCCGGCGATACGTCATCTTGAGGGAAAAGAAGGGTCCGGTGAGGAGGGGATCATGTCACGTAGAAATACCAAAATGACCCTGTGCCCGCGAGTCCTGCTCTCCGAACAACTTCACGAATAAACCGCTGGACGGCATATCTCCTCACATCACGACTCCAAGATGCAGCGAGCAAACACCACCGAGAGCCTGCGCACACCTGGCGCCAGCATCTCGACTCTCAACCTGAACAAGCCCCCGCGGCCGGGCATGGAACGCGCGCCCACATCTACCAACCTCACACGGCCACTCCCCATCCAGCGCCTTGAAGGCAAGGTAGTCATGATTACAGGTGGAGGCGGCAAAGTTGGTGTAGAGTCTGCCGGACGCCTGCTTATCGAGGGCTGCAATGTCGCCCTGATCGACATCGACCAGGGCGCTCTCGAGGCTGCCGTACCCGTTCTCAAGGCTGCGATTCCCACTGGCATGCCCGTAGAATCCCGCCTCCTCACTATCGTGGCCGATGCGACAAAGGAGCCGGATGTCGAGGCATGCGCCAAGAAGATCGTGCAGCGATTTGAGAGGCTCGATGCTGCGCTGTTGAACTGCTGCCATCGCGGCGAGTCCAAGAGCATCTTCGACGTCACCGAAGACGACTTTGACAGAATCATGACCATCAACGCCAAGTCTGGTATGTCATTTCACTTATCCTCAAACATCACCCACTGATTATCCCCCCAGCATTCCTAGGTGTCAAGTACGCTGCTACAGCCATGCAAACCACCTCTGGTGGCGGCTCCATCATAATCCGATCCTCCATCGCCGGTCTCCGCGGGTTCCCCAACCTCATCTCGTACAGTGCCAGCAAGTTTGCTCTTCGCGGTATCGCCCTTACTGCCGCTGAAGAACTCGGCCCGCTCAATATCCGTGTTAACACTATTCACACAAGCATCATCCAAACACAAGGATACAAGGACGGCTGGAGCAAGGAGAAGCTGGCAGAGTTGAAGGAGGAGACTGCGCTCGACCGGTTCAGCAGCCCAGACGACGTGGCCAGCGTCGTGGCATTCCTTGTCAGCGAAGACAGCAAGTTCATGACTGGTGGACACTTGAAGATTGATGGCGGGTGTGTCGCCGTTTAGACGTTTCGTTTAACCTTGCTTGTTATACTGCGATGATCAAGATTTGCATTGATGGAGTTTGGGATGCCCGCTTTTCTTCGGAAGCAGAGGCTGCATGCTTTGCACAGGGTGTGATCATGGACTGGAGGCATAGAGGCACATTATTAAACCGGTAGAAATGTACCACCAAACGGACATCTGTCCTCGCTCACCCCATCCTGTTCGACATCTTTGTGCAGCTGTCTCTGCTTGGACATGCTTTGCGATGACAGCGCATGACGTCACTGCACTGTCATGCTACCCTCATCTAGAGACCCATTGATGCAACATGCATGAACTGGCAGTCCAATCCTGAGTAACCACTAAGTAGCTCGCAGTTAAAGCTTCCTAACACTGCGGAAGGCGCAATTAGACCCTGCACTACACTGTTTCCGAAAATATCCGGTAAAGCTGTCATGATGTGACGTGCATTATACTCCAGCAAGCTTGTAACAGCACTTGAATAGATTTTCTTAAAACCCATATTACCTTTCCTTACTTCACGGGCTCTCATCACACCCCGTCACTTCATCCTCAAGAGCGACCCGAGTCCTACTATCCCACCATGTCCGAACCCACAGCAACCGAACACCACCCCAAATTTCAAAATCGAAAACCGGAACAGGATGCCGTCGCCTATGAGATGCAAACATATACACGCGGACTAGACTTTGAACGCCCACCGCTCACATTCCAGGCCGATAAATGGGAAGAGTTGGCTTGTAGTCGCATGTCTGCCGACTCCAAAGGCTACGTCTATGGGTCAGCCGGCGTAAGAGAAACAACGGACAAGAACCGCAATGCCTTCAGAAGATGGTCCATCGTGCCAAATCGCCTAGTAAAATATGACGGTTTCCCCGACCTGACGACCGAGATCTTCGGAGAGAAAATGGTAGCACCTATAGCCATGGCACCTGTCGGCGTACTCAAAATCTTCAATCCCCAAGGCGAAGTTGCCGCCGCAAAGGCCGCAGCCAAAGAAGCCATTCCATACATTCTCAGTACGGCCAGTAGTACAAGTATAGAAGACACAGCTGCAGCCAACGGCTCCGACGGCCAACGCTGGTACCAACTCTACTGGCCCTCACGCGAACACGACGACATCACAATTTCCCTACTGCAGCGCGCAAAGAAATCCGGTTTTACAGCTCTCTTCGTAACCCTAGATACGTATATCCTTGGCTGGCGGCCCGAAGACATGGATAACGGGTATAACCCTTTCATGCGCGCTGATCGTACGGGTGTGGAACTCGGTATGACGGACCCTGTATTCCAGAAACAGTTTAAAGAGAGGCATGGCGTGGATGTGGAGAGTAAGATGGAGGCTGCGGCACCGGAATGGATGAGGACGATTTTCCCGGGGGAGAGCCATAGTTGGGAGGATGTAGAGTTTCTGAAGAGGCACTGGGATGGGCCGATTGTACTGAAAGGTATCCAGAGCTTGGCTGATGCGAGGAAGGCGGTGGAGGTCGGTGTGCAGGGCATTGTTGTGAGTAATCATGGTGGGAGGCAGCTTGATGGCGGAAACTCTTCGTTGGGCGTGTTGCCACATATTGTTGATGCTGTTGGTGAGAAGTTGACGATCTTCTTTGACAGTGGGGTTCAATCTGGTGCTGACATCGCGAAAGCAATGGCGCTGGGTGCGGACTGCGTGCTAGTTGGTAGGCCATACGTGTATGGCCTAGCGCTCGCAGGAGAGAGGGTGTGGAGCATGTGCTCAAGAGTTTGGTCGGTGAGCTGGAGCTGACATTACATTTGAGTGGTATTCAGAGTGTGCAAAAGAAGGACCTGAATCGGAGCTTGTTGATTAGGGAGGATGCACTTTTGAGGGAGTGAAGGGAGTGGGACTGCACTAGATGTCTCGCTGTCGGAAGGATGTCTATACTATTAATGTTAATGTCCAGGGCTCTGAGTCAAGCTCTTATTGTATACACACCGGGTATTTGTTCAATGGCTTTTACAGATAATCTACCGGGAAGGCATCCAGAGGATCATGATCGATCACTATAGTACATCCTACTATATCGGAAGAGCCAAGTTCCTTGCGGCTCCTGAGCGGGTGAAGGAGACACTTCCTGATAACCAAAAAGTATCGAATCATAAACATGAAGTGAGTCACTGGATACAGATATCGTGGTGTCCCAGAGTTTTGTCGTTGCGAAGACCGCAGGTGCCCTCGCAGTGACCATTTGCAGCTAGCAGCTTGGCCATTGCATTCATACTTTTCAACACATGAACCATTTGCCGCCATGGCTCAACTAGGCAGTTCCCCTAACTTGTTAAACTCGAGACCGTTCTCGATTTGCTCTTTCTCACCTTCACCTAGGCTAGGAGTCGGGTATCTATGCTTCACCTTGGTTTTACTCATCTCCTAGCACGTCACCATCACGTTCCGTTCCCCATGGCAACCTGAATTCTTGATATGTGACTCATTATCAAGTGCCAGTCACCTGGAGATGGAAGAATTGGCTCCCATGTATCTTGCGTATTTCGGCCTTCGTCTCCATCTCACCAACTCTAACGTTGCTCTACGAATTACTGGCAGCATTGCGCAACGAATTCAAGTCCTGACTGGATCAAGATGACGGAACTCGAACGGCAAACCGCGTTACTGAAGTACCACAGCCTGATGGTACCGACCACAGATCCAACAAAGAGCAAGCGGCCCACTGAGGAACCATCTCCCGAACCGACCCCCAAGAAGACGAAACATAACACTAAGACTACTTTTGTACGGTATCCAAGGGCTATAGCCAAAACGATGCGGACGCCCAACCTGAAATTGCTCACGAACCTCCCTTAGACACCTCGACTTTATGCACACCCTATCTTTCAGCGCCAGTTCCTCCGCATGAAGGCCGAGCTCCAAAAGACGAAACAAGATCTGGCAGTCGAGAAATCCAAGTCACTTCGAGATAGCAACCAGATCAACCTGCTATGTATTCAATGCTACAGACTGACCGACCGTTACCGCGCCGTTGTCGCCTCCCACACCGCCCTTCAAGACGCATCTCATGATCTGGCCTCAGAGCTTCGAGCCCACAAATGCGCCCTCGATCTTACCAGGAAGGAACTAGACGAGTCCCTGAAGGATACCGACACCTACCGCGAGACGATGTTGAAACAAGACGACGATTACAAGCTCGTAAAAATGCAATTAAAGGAAGGGAAAGAAGATGAGATCGTGCAGTGCAGGATGTTGACGAGTAAGTTGCGGTCGCTCGGCAAGAGCTATGAGATGGGTCGCGCAGTCTATGACATGCTTTTACTACAAGTTGAGGGACAGTATAGTGGGGATAAGGTCGTGTTGGAGAGGATGAGAGAGGCTTTGAAGGAGGCGTTCGGTGGGTTCTTTGAAAACGAGTGAGCCAACGGAAGAGCTGCGTCTGGGGAGGGGTGCGTTAAGTATCGGGTGGGGGTTCGATCTGCTGATTGAGGTGGGATAGGAGTAGGTGCATTGTTTTTGTTTCGGTCGTAATGGGTTTCTTACTCTCATCATATCTTCGAGGCCGTTGTAGATGTCGCATGTATGACATGTGCAGAACATTGAACACACACTTTGCTTTTATCGTATCCCTTCAGACATCACTGACAGTAACCGCTTCTTTGTAGACACTTTATCAGTCAATCAATGTTCTCGTAGGAACATGCCCTCATTACCTGTGGTATGTATATATCCATAACATTTCATCGATATGGAGTGATCCGAATGATACGATACTTAACACTAGACGAAAAAAGGGTATACCAAATCTCGAAACGCCAGTTCAGAGGGTGCCTTAGCCGCCCATACCGTATCTTGTACTCTTGTTATATCTTACACCCTCATCATCATCCGCACCGTAGGAATAAAATCTTGACTATCCTTCTCTTGCTGTTCGAAACTCTGTTTGAAGGCTGCCAACCCCGCGAGGATTCCGCAAACCATGAACATTAGCGAAACAAGCGACCAGATAACGCCCCAGCATTGCGACGAACCGCCATACCGCTTGGCGAAGACACTAGCATCAGACGAGTTGACCTTGCGGAGGATAAGGTCATCACAGATATCCCAGACGCTGTACAGAGAGGACATGACGCCGATGAAGAGCTGAAGTGGGTGTTAATTTAACGGTATAAGGGGAAGGGAAGACACGTACGACCATGAACCTCAAGGCCTCGCCATGTTCGATGAACCAAAACGCCACAAGTAATCCTACACTAAGTAGAATTGTTACAATCGTCAACCAGTCTTTTCTCGCCCACCACAGTGTTAGCAAGAAACACACGCCTAGCACTATACTCGCTACTTTAGAGGCCACGATGTTGAAGCCGCAGAAAGTAAGTAAAGCGCCGATCAATGAGGACCCTAAGTAGCCAGCGGGCAGAGTGATGAATTGTTTGCCGCCGCGCATGTGCGTCACACCTCCCTCATGAGGATCAAGGGAGATGGACTCTACTCGCCCACCAGTACAACAAGACGTTATTGCATGGGAAAATTCATGGAACGCTATGACTAGCATCTGTGGTTTTGGTTAGCCATCAATATCTCTTATCGTGCCAAACTTGCATGGTAAAGCGACCTGGCTGTTAATCGCGTTCATGACACCAATTCCGTACCATCTTCATCTAAGGGGACTACAGTACAGTGTACATACCTTGAACGGCCACAACACCCACCGTACGTACGGTAAATTCCACAACAGCGCAATAACAACAACATATGCAGCAATAACACCCAACGTAACCCCTTGGGTATGATTTACACTCAGACCGCGGCGCTCAAAGTGATGTGAGGCCCGCGAAGCGACAACCGGCCCCGCTGTGACCAGGGCCCGACGCGCTAACTTGGCGAGGTTGCTTGTGTTCTGAAGTGGTACTGCTGGCGGCATAGCTGTGGTATTCGTATGTCGTTGTGGTTAAATGCTCAAAGATAAGCGGGAAAGAGCCTGGGTAATGAGCGGCAAAAATGTAAATGAATGAGGATACTGTTACTTGTTGTTTGATGTTCGGAAGCGAAGAGTGGCTGGAGGGAGGACGTGGAGCTGACGCGTGCCACGCTAAAATTAGCAGGGGTGTGGCTGTGTCGGCATCTTTCCGGAAAGGAGACCGCCCAGCTCTCGTCAACGACGGAGAGAATGCATATGTAACAGAGGTTGTGGGATCAGAAGGCAGTGGTTTGTTGATATGTTGGAATTGAATGATGTCTAAATTATGTACGCCTCTTGGCGGATTTATAGCGCTTTGCTAAAAGGGAGGAGCCGCTAGAAGGACGGCGGCAGTGCGAAAACACCTTGGATCTGGACTAAAGAAGTATAGTTATCTTATACTTGAACCATGATAATAGGCTTAAACCCTCTCGTGGTGTGTTGACATGCCTCTTTCAGGCGAAGTGTCAACGTCCTTGTCGCCGACCTTCTCAGATGCAGCAGCGCCAGTGGCACCAACAGCACTGTGACGTCGCTCCCAGTATGGGTCGTCACGCTCGTTACGGCTGATGTATCCAGCTGGGACCCACTTTTTACTGGTCCTAGCCGACATGCTTGGGTCTGAGTACATGATATCGACGTTCTCAAGAGACAAGGACTTGGTCTCGAAGACGAAGAAGTAAACGACACCCGCAGCAACGAAGTTGCATGCGAAGAACACGAAGCCGAAGGCGTAACCGATACCGTCATCAGCTAATGGTGTAAGGAAACCGATCAAGAAGTTACCTGGAAAGAAGCGTTAGTAAATAGAAATGTTATGTTGAAGGTGTGTAGCTTACCGAGCCAGTTAAATGCAGTAGCCAAGGAGGCTTGCTTCGCACGAGTGCGAAGTGGGAACGTCTCTCCGATAATAACCCAAATGAAAGGCCCCCAGGTGGAGGCAAAACTTGCGATGAACATGCAAGCAGCGACGATCATGACGATACCAGCGGCCGGGTTGTCTTGTGGCGGTAGCACGACACCGATGATAGCGAAAATAAGCAACCATGTGGCTTGCCAGAGACCGCCGACAACGAGAGGCACACGGCGACCAACTCGCTCAATGAGCCACAATCCAGGAATCGTCATGACTACATTGACAGCGCCAAGAATCAGTTGAACCTGGAGAGGATCGTCAATCCCTGCAGATTGGAAGATAGTCGCTCCATAGTAGAAGAAATAGTTAACACCAGTCCACTGCTGGAAGAATTGGATAGCGCATCCGAGAAGGGTACGGTACGCAAGACGCGGGATGCCGGATGGCTGGCCAGTGAAGCATTCCATCCAAGTACCTTGTCCAGCGCTCTGTTGCTCGTTGATGGAATCCTCCATCTCTTTGAAATCTGAGTTGACCAGCTCGTGATTAGGGTCATGGACCAGACCTCGGAGACGAGCCATGGCCATTCGTGCCTCTTCCCATCGTCCTTTACCCGCCAGCCATCTCGGAGATTCTGGAGTGAAGAGTACACCGAGTCCAAGAGGAATGGAAAAGCCGATTCCCAAGCCAATTACGATCCTCCAGGAGGCATCGCTGGTTTCTCCTGGGTTGTCGCGGACACCGTAGTTGATGATGTTGGAGATGAGAATTCCAACAGTGATCATGAGTTGATAAGATGCGACGACGGCACCACGGATCTCTCGGGGGCAGACTTCGGATTGGTACATCGGTACACCAATGGACAGAATACCGACACCGAGACCAGCGACAATACGGCCGATTGTCATGTGTACCCAGGTGCTCATTGCAGTGACCTGAATGATGTTGCCAATGACGAATATGAGCACACCAACGGACAGATTG